CACTCGAGGCGTCCCACGCAGGACGACCCAAGGCTGGGGCAGGAGGATGGGAAGGGGGCAGGCTCTGGGGCAGACAGCCTGGGTTAGAATCTCACGGGCTGTGTGGCCTTGGGCAAGTCACTTAACCTCTCCGTTCCTCAGTTTCCTCATCTGCAAAGCGGGGATGATGATAATCCTTACTTCACAGGGGGTTTTGGAAGGTCAAATGAATTATAACATGTCAAGTACAACACAATTACTATTATAAACTATTATTGTTGCTGTCATTTTTGCCAACTTCAAAACTTATGTAGGTAGGTTTATAACGGTGACTGCGGGATAAAGACAAGACCGCCTGGATCCCTGGAGCTCGCTGAGGCCCCCAAAAGGCAGCCCCCACCTTCCAGGTGGGGGCAGGGAATACTATCAGCTGGAAGGAGACACATGTCAGAGCCGGAGATTAAAAACAAGTACAATTATCGGGCAGGCATCCATCCATAATTATGAACTTGATGTAATTAGGCACCCCACTAACTTCATTACTTATTTATTTACGGGATTGCTTATTTAATTTGTGGGCCTCCTTCCCCGAAAAGTCATCTTAGCTAACACCCCTCAAGCAAGGGAGGAGGAGGGAGGCCCCCTCTTCTGCTGCCATCTTCTGCCGCCACCCCCATTCCGGGGCTTCCATGTCCCCATCCTGCCTTGCCCAGAACAGTATCCCGGAAGGCCTGACGACTGTGCCCAGGATAACAGAACTGCACAGAGACTGCGTGCTCAGCGACAATGGACAGTGCTTGACCCGGAAGGCGTGGACCCTCCTTTACACCCTCATCTCTCTCCAGCACAGGTGACCCTGGCAGGAGAAAGGTGGTTTGGGCCCCACCAGCCACCAGTTCCTGGTGTGACCTTCTGAACCCGCAAACACATCAGAGCAACAAACGGGGCTGGAACCTCCCAGCCTGGAGGAGGAAAAAGAGCACTCAACGGCTGCCGGATGACTAGATAAGTCACCTGACCTCCCAGGGCCTCCATTTCTTCATCTGTAAAATGGGACGGTTAAGAAGAACACTCAGCTAGCTCACCCTAAAAAACCCACTGCTGCTACCCAGCACCACCCATGGCCTCAGCCAAAGCAATATGGCACAAAAAAGCAATAAGAGGTAGAAACACTTTCTAGCTTTATTCCTAATAGCCAAAAACTGGAAACAACCCACATATCCATCAACTCACGAATGGATAAACGAACTGTGATACCTTCATATGATGGAATATTACTCACAATAGAAAAAAAAAAGAATTATTGACACATACGACACAGATGAATCTCAAAAACAAGCAGAGAGAAAGGAACCAAACGTAAAAAAGTACATACTTTATAATTGTATTATGAAAATCTAGACGATTCTAGAACTTCCAGGACAGATCAGTGGGTGCTTCTGGTGGGAAGATGGGGGTTCTTTTGGGGGGTTATGGAAACACTCTATATCTTGATTGTGGTGGTTGCTATCTGAATGCTTACATGTGTCAAAGCTCACTTTTTTAACCAGAACAGAAAACCAAACATATTAGCACCACTAACCCCCATCTGGTGCCCAGGGACTATCTCCCCACTCCCAGGTCAGTCTGCTGGGTCCATGACCGTCCCTCAAGTTCCCCAAGCCCTTGATTTATGAGCGCTGGACAAGCAAGGTCAGGGTTTGCTCTGCCCATCAGGGTCCCCGTCTGCAAAAGCAGGATTATAAATAGCACGCTCCTTGGAGAGCTATTGTGGAATAAAAAGGAGCCATGAGCAAAGGTACCAGCGCAGGCCCTGGCATACAGCAGGGGCCTTGTTGTGGCTGCGGTAAAATGGTGACCAGGCAGGCACCAGGCCCAGGTGGACAGGGCTGGTTGGGATTCTTCTCCCCCGACACACACAAGCCCCCAGCAGACAAGAAAGACTCCAGACCTGGGGGGCTGCCCCCATCACCGAGGGCTCCAGGCTGCCACGTCTCGGCCTGCTGTCCAGGACAGGGCAGGGTTCCTGGGCTCCACCCACCCGCTCCTCCCAGGAGGAGGAGCACAAAAACATGGGCACCCTGTGTGTAGGGAGGGGCTGGCCCCCCCGAGGGTGACACAGTCCACCTGGGAGGTCATTCTGAAACAGGAGCCCGTGGAGAGGATGTCCTGGTAGCGAAGGGCGGCGGTCCGGCGGTCACATACACACTAATTGGAGCAGGACAAGAGTCACCCCCGAGCCCACCCATTTATGAAAGAAAAAGATAATAATAGGATGACAGGGAGGGGGCCCCAGGGGCTGGGGGAGATTCTGCGCCAGCTCACGTGCGCCTGTCTGAGGGCTACCCTGTGAGTGATGGAGTGGGCAGGCGGGGCCCAGGAGCCATGACGGCAGGGGCGTCCCCCGGGCCCGATTAGAGGGCCAGCCGCAGGCAGACACGCTCAACTGTCAGCCTCGTCCTCCCAGCCCGCCATCAGAGGCACCATTAATTGCTGTCATTTGAGGGTGGCCTGTGGGGAAAGCGAGGGGGGTTGTGGGGAGGGGAGGGGAGGGCAGGGGAGGAAAGCGAATAAAGGAGGAGGAAGGGAAGACAGCAGGGGGGGGTGGAGGGGGGCGGTTTGCCCAGGGCTGAGCCTCCTGAGCTGGAAAGAGACCGCCATGCACACTCTGCCTCCTCTCCTCCATCTAATGCAGGGACCACGGCCCCGCCCAACTAGGGACAAAGCCAGCGGGCCCATTGCCCAGGAGGGTCACATCGAGTCCCGAGAGGGGTGCTTCTGTGGGGTCAAGTCCCGCGGACCTTGCCCCACATACACGCCTGGCCACTTCCTCCCCAGGGTACCCAGGAAGTCTGGCTGCTTCAGCCCCCCATCCACGGTCAGCCCCCACCCGTATCTGACCCCTCAGCCTCATCAGCACACCACCAGGCGCCATTGCTGGGGGGGAAGGGGGGGGCCCAAGGCCGAATTCCACTTTCCCACCCGTGCCCGGGGCTCCAGCAGCTCCCCACGCCAGGACCAAAACCTACACCTGCCTCAAGGCGACCCGAAGGCCGCCGCCTCCAAAACCTCCAGCAGCCAAAGGATTCCAGAGCTGGGCTCCCTGGGTTCCAATCCTCCCTCCGCCACTTGCGCACGTGGGGACATCACATTGCCTCCCCGGGCCTCGGTTTCCTCATCTGTACAATGGGGATCACGACAGGGCCCACCTCGTCGCGTGGCTCTGAGGATTAGACAACGTGATTCCACAAAGCGCTAAAAAGGGGTCTGATGCCGTGTGAGTGTGGAGTGTGTGACGCGGCTGGATCACTGTCATCCCAGACGATGTCCCCTTGACCCCTCGCACATCACACCTTCTACCACGCATCCGCTTATCGTGGTTCCTTCTCAGAAATGCCTGCTCTCCCCACCCCAGCTCCAGGCCTCCCCAGGTGAGGAGGATGCAGAGAAGCGCCAGCTGCCAGCAAAAAGCTACAGGGCACGGGGTCCATGCCGCGCCTCTGTCTCTGGAGCACCCATCCCACCACCCCCTTCCCAGCGGCAGGTCCCTGAGGAGCCCCTTGAGCCCTGACAGGGAGCTCCTGGGAACATCCGGCTCTCTCCGCAGGGGGAGGGCCTCTACCCCCTCCCCCATCTGTCTGCCTCCCTCCTCCCCTCAGAGGTGATGGATGGCCCCAGAGGAGGAAGCTAAGTGCTTGCACACAAAAAGCCCTTTTATCGTCCTCGGGTGGGCCACTGGTATGACAAGCAGATAATTCAGCCACAGAGGAAGGCTCCCCATTAGGCCTACGGATTGATGGAGAGCCAGAGGCAGAGGAAGAAGAGGAGGAAGGGAAAACATCCAGGCAAGGCCACCTTCCTTCCAGCTTCAAGCATGCTGGGCAGAAAACCTGGGCTGAGCACCTGGGGGGGGGCTGCCACAGCAGCGTCGCCCATGCCTCCCCATTTCCAAGACGAAACCCACAGCTGCAGGGCCCGGCTCAGGAAGCAGGTAACCTCCAAAATGGTTTTTCCTGGGGGGGCCTAATGGCTCAGAAACAAAGAGAGGCCTGCCCCAAGGAACCCCACGCATGTGACTCAGATGCCTACAAACCAAGATGGCCATTCCATACGGCCTCAGGGCCTTTGCACGGACATTTCCTCTATCTGGGGCACCCTCCAGAGACCTTCCCCTCCTCCTGCGGGTCTCAGGGAGGCCCTTCCGACCCCCCCCCCGCCCCTTGAAACTGCAACCCCAGCCCACCCACACACTCTCCAAGCCCCCTCCACTGGTTCTTCACCCCAGTGTCTCCCAGCAAAGGACACACTGTGTATGAGACTTGTTTACTGTCTGCCTGCCCCTCAGTAGGAACATGCCAGGGTCCCCGAGAGGGTCACATGGTTAGAGTCCCACCTAGAGTCCCACCTCTTTGCTTCCAGTTGAGACTTGAGACCCATCGGTGACCCATCGGTGCCTCAGTCCCCTTGCTTATAAAATGAGGGTAACAGCCCATTTGGGAGCATTGCTGCGAGGGTCACAAAACGGGTTGACGCTTGAAAAGCACTCCCTCTGATTATCAGCTTGGGCCAGGCAGTGCTCTGTGTTAGCTCATTCAGTCGTCACAGCAGCCAGTGACCACGATGGTACACGAGTGTCCCAACCAAGGGTTTTCTCCAACACCGGCCACCCCAACTCATGGGCCCCTTCTACAGGACCTGCCATCCCCAAGCCTGGAGCCCGCCATGAGAGCACAGAACCCCAGAGGCAGAGAAAACCTGCATCCTACATGCCGGGGACCACCCCTTCTCCCAGGCATCATCTGAAAATCACTGCATGGGGCCTAAAAACATCTCCTCCCCGGGGCACCCCCAACCTCCCCAGCCATTCCCCACCCTGGGCGACTCTGGGTACAGACCCCACCCCACAAAGCCACGTCTGCCAGGTGGAATCGGCTCCCCCGCTACTGCCAACTCCTTGCACATGTCCCGGTCACGTGAATCTGACAAGAGATGGCAAGAGGTGAGGACAGACAGGAACCTACCAGAAACGGCTGCCAGAGACGCTGTGTCCTCAAAGGCTCCGGGGGGACCTGCAGGAGAAAACAGGTTCTTGTTAGTAAAGTCACAGCCTCCACACAGGGGCTCCAGCAGGTCCACGTCAGCGTGTGGGCAGAGGCGGCAAGGCCCACGGGCCTGGCGCCTACGTACACACGCCAAGTACTTCTCCACGAGAGCCCCGTGGGGCGGGCACTCCTACCCAACTTGACAGAGGGAACTGAGGCTCAAAATCTAACTCTCAAGCTCCGAGTCCCAGGGCCAGGAGGTCACAGCTGGGACTCCTATCCAGACTGCGGGGTCATAACAGCAGCCACACCCCAGCAGGGCCACCAAGGGGCTCAGGGCCCACTGCACAGAGTTATCTTGACGCTCCCCTAGGAACTTCCCAGAGGATGCTATAAACCAGAGTGAATGACACCTGAAGGACTGGCAGGCCTACTATTCTCATTCAAGAATTTCTGAGTCTCCACTCTGAGTCAACACCAGCACAACAAACGCTAGCGTCCAGAAAATAAAAAAGGATACCCACAGATAAATAAGAGACAGTCAAGCCAAAAGGAAAACAGAGGAAGCACTCGATAACACTTGACGAAAGTGGACATACAGACGGCCAGTAAGCACACGAAAAGACGCTCACCATCACTAGTCATCAAGAAAGTGCACATTAGGGCCGGCCGAGTGGTGCGATGGTTAAGAACTGGCTTGGAACGCCAGAGGACCCCGGTTCGGATCCCACATATGAGGGCCAGTGACACTGCCCTCTATAGCTAAGATGCTGAACAGCAGCTCAACCTGGAGCTGGGCTGCCATGAGTCGCCGGCGACGGCGTAGGCTGCAGCCCATGTGGCAGTGGGTTGCCA